TCTCCATGCCTATCTCTAGCAGTCACAAGGGTTCCCTCTCCAGTGCCTGCACCCTTTTCTTCAGGTAACAGCCACAGACCTTCAAGTGACATCCAAAGACATCATCCGTCCAGTAACTTCAGTCCCACACCTCACTGCTGCTTCCCTTTAATCCTAGAACATATTTTCTCTGACTTCAGTAAAACCTCCAGTATTCCAGCTAATTGATTTCCTTTCAACTTTCTGTCAAATTATCTGTTTTTTCCCCATTTTCCTCAGCACAGATTCAGTTATACCTTCCTGCTTCCCTTGTCACTTGGTGAACCCAAATGATGGTGCCCTGGTCAGTAGAATATGAAGCGACAATGTCACTAATACTTCCTTCACTTGGACTTCTATTTCTTTCCCATTTGATGGAAGAAATGAGAAGACTCTCAAATCTGGCCATGTTATAGTTTCAATATGAAATGTCCCTTGGGACCTCTACGGTCAAGGCCTAATTGCCAGCTGATTAGCATTTGGGAAACCACTGAACCATGAGAATTCTGACTTAGATGACAGATTCATATGTAACAAAGGATTCATGATCTGATATCCTCAGCAGGTAACTGGATGTGTATGCTTGGTGCTCTAGGAATGGTGTATCTTCTACCTGACCTTTCCTCAGTCTCAGCTTCCTGACTGCCAAAAGGTGAGCAACTCAGCTTTACTATGTTTCACTGTGATGTTCTCCTTTGGGACAGTGGAAAACAATGAAGCCAGCAAAGCATGGGCTGAAACCATGAGTCAAAGTCATACTTGCTTCCTTAAGCTGTTTCTCTTGAGCATCTTGTCACAATGACAAATGTCTTCATCTTGAGAGTAAGACAGCCAACTTCCCGACTCATTGGGGCAGACAGGGTACATGAAGCTTTAATTGTAATACACCACCAAGATTCTGAGGTTGTTGGCTGTTTGGTTAATGTCTCCTGTTTTATACACAGTTCAAAGCCACTCACAGTAAGCAGTGCACTGCCACAAGTTCTCTCTCTGCAAACCTGCAACACAATTTTTCTCTTGACCTTCTATGCTGACTCTGGAGAAATCTCAGCTCATAACAGCTCAGCTTTATGTCAGCTTACAACTGTAGACTAGAAGAGCAATCCTTACAACCAGTAGGGCTGCTGATATCACCAGGTCTCAGACAATGCCTAGCACTGCCTACCATCTGACAAGTCTCCTGGGCTTCCTGTGATCCCTCAAACAGCCACTACCATCAACTCTTCTTCCTTGGAATGTTCCCCGCATGACAGGAACTAGATTACAGTGATTGCCAGGCGCCTAGTTGAAGACAGTGAATACAGAGTGGTCTTTGTTGCTTTCTCATCAATGTTGTCTTCCATTCTGCTCCTCTCCAGGATGCCCAAGCTTTCTTACCACCTCTTGATCTTTTTTTTTTCAGTTCCCATGTGTTCCAATCCTTTCTCCTTCATCCTTTGAACACTATATTCATTTCTATGTTGTCACCCTTTTCAGCTAGTTTCATCACTCCCATGACTTTGATATCTACTTTATATACTGACAACCATAAAACATACCCCTCCGTTCTACATGACTTCTGAACCCCAAGCCATAACAACATCTCCAATAGGCACAGACAACCCCTAACATCACTAATGTGCTCCTTTTCTTGCCTTCCTTTTGTTAGTGGATCCCTCAGCCATAAGCCTAGAAGGGCAACTCAGCCCTCTAGGTACTATTCATCACCACTCCTAAAACTGGCTTGAATATTTTCCTTCCTCTATATGCTTCCTTATCCCAATATTTCATTTTTAACAAGTTACTTCAAAAAACACCATTAATTCCTGGATCCATACTTACACTTACAAACCAATCTCTAGACTTCCCTGATGTAAAAATCAGTTGGTATCCCTTCTCTACTGTAAGGCTACCAGCGGCTCTCCTATACCTTTGAAGAAGGCCTCTGTCTCTTCTCAGAAGAGACACACCCACCCAGTCCCCCACTGATGTGCTTGTTCTCTCTGGATTCCCATGTTGTGAATCTAAATCTAACCTTCTGAGTTCCTTTACTGAGCCCAAATCAAGTCTGGGAGCAATGGAGTCTCACGTCCTCTTCCTGGCACACAACACAGTTCATCCCAGTGCTTGTGAAAGTCTTCCTGTTTAATCAAATTCTTAAATTTATCAGCATCTCCACTAATTCAGAAATATCCATAATTTCTTATCCAAAATGCCCAACTGGTCTCCTCTTTCCATCTTGCCTCCCGTTCACAGTCTCCCTCCATTCCACAAGCAGCAGGATGCTTCCAAAATGTTCAAGTCACTGTGATTAAAAACTATCAGCAAAAAACAGGATTTTGATGGAACTCTGATCCTCATAACAGCAGACAAAATGTCATAAGAAAAATCTGAACAATAAAATAGACAGTGTGAGACTCTGAGGGGGGGGAATCAGAAATACAGGACAGGACAAAGCTAACCTCTTACAAAAGTAGTATTTCAGTAAGATTTGAGTGTGTAGAAGTATCCAGAATTTAGTAGACTTTGTACTCTTACTTACCAACATCCCCAGCTGTACATCTTACTGCTCTAAACACTGCCACAGGTTTTAGCACATTTAGATTTTAAATACATGTCTGATGAGTGCAGAGATGGCTGAAGCTTCCATTTAAATTATGCAAAAGTCCAACTTTAAACAAATTGCGTGATTATAATTTTTGTGTTCCATGTTGGCATCGATCTGTAGGTCTACTAAAATTTCAAGGCAGATAAAAATGAGTAGGGTAGGATTGATCCTGTGTTGCTTGTGTTGTGTAGTTTTTACAAAATTTGCCTCATAGCCTGGAACCCCGAGAGGACAGTAGAGTGGAGGGATAACGTGAGAGACACTGTTTCAGCTTTATCACACATGCAACAGCAGTTGGAAGGGTGGGATCTGAGGTTCCTCGCTCTGTACCTTTTCATAGGCAAAACTATTTGTATACAAATCCAAACAGACATAAAATACCGAGATTCATAAATAAAGCAACTTTAAGGTGTGATAGTGTACCTCTGCTAAGCAGGCAAACTGTAAAAGATCCTCTTGAATATACCCCTTTGTGTTATAAATGGTTGGATTTGGTTCTGGAAAATTATTGAGATTCATAAGCTAATAGTTGCAAATTGAGATTATACTTTTAATTTACAGAAAAATCTGACTTAAAAAGAGGAATTCCTACTTTCATTTAGCCTGCCTGCTGTATTTATTAACTTGTTTCACTGCATAAAGAGGCTATGCTGGATGACAGGGCACTACCTCTCATTCCACAAGAACGTTGGGTCATGCATGACACCATATATGTATTGTTTTTCTAAAGTTTTAGAAATAAAATAATTCTGGCTTTCAAGACTAAAGTAGCCCCAAGAGTTTGGAGTACTATTTTCCAACATGCACCTAATTCTGTTATGTTAGGTTACAACACCTCTATAGTGTGTGGGATTTGATGTTCTCGGCAAAAGTGAAATCACTGAAACACAGCTATGATCTTAGCATTTACAGAGTCTTTAATTGAGAGCAATTCCAAGTTTCCTCTCAAATCCAATATAAACTAGGTGTCTGTGCCATCACATTATTGCATTTCCTAGCTGTAGCTTCTGATCTGTGGAAACTTTTTTTAGACAGGGTTTCTTTGTGTACCCCAGGCTGTCCTGAAACTTAATATGGAGACCAGGCTGTCTTTTGCCTCCAAAGTCTTGGGATTAAAGGCATGACCCACCACCAACTGGGTAAGAAACTTTTATAGGTAGGTAAACCCATGCCATACTAAGCCACAATCTAGACATTGTGGACATTGGAATAATTTGTTGTAACTTCTAATTTTCCAAACACTTTATTATCCTCTTTTTATAACTTCTATAATTTTCTCATACTTTATACATTTTGTCTAAAAGTCCCAAGGAGCATGTGCCTTCTGAGAGCCAGGATTGTACTTTTTCTAGGCTATGAGTGTATCCTGCACTTGGCTGTGGAATCATCCTTATGCACATTATTTCTGACTGTCACAATCACCCTGTAAGATTCACTTTTTGATTCATCCTGTATCCCAGTTGAAATGCAGCTCACTGTGTAGCTCAGGCTGGCCTTGAACTTGTGACAATCCTCTTGTCTCATCCTCCTGTAAGCCTCCCCACATAGTTTTACTGAGATGTATTCTATTCTTCCCAATGCACATCTGAGTTAACATGGGATCATGTTGGAAAACGTCCCATGGCTACTAAGGGGGCATAATTAAAGTTGAATACATAGATCCAAAGTTTGTGTTTTCCTAAGGGGCAAATAACTGACCCATGTGCCAGTCTCATTCTTGACCTGTGCAGTTGGGAGGACAAACCTGTTTCCTTCGCAGTACAAATGAGGCACAGTTTCTTCTAAATCCTTCTGGAATCATTTGATCATACCGTTACATTTCTGTAGAATGTAGAAAGGCTATCTAATATTAAAAGATTCAATTCTGCAGCCATATTCAAAAACAATGTAATTTTGCTTTGGCGTTTCTATTCTTAAAAATTACAATTCATTGGTATTGGGTAAGCTTACAGATAAATATAGTAACGTGTCCACCCACCTTTTAGAAGCATCTTGTACATTTATTGAAAACATTATTATACAGGGAAAGAGAAGGGCTTATGTCTCAGAACAATAAAGCGGGAAAGGATAGAGGGGAAGACTGTTAATGATTTTAATGATTTTAAGGCCCATTAAAATTAGAGAAATATCAAAGCACCCACCAAGTTAAGGGTTTATTATTACAGCGAGTAGGGTTTACTAGTTCATACCTTTCGATCACAGCAAGTATTAGCAGTGAAGGATAACCCTCCGAAGAGGAGTTTTATTTCAGTGATAGGAGGTTAAGAACAAGACAACCTAAATTTAAAAAAAATTAGTAGCAAGCGCTAGTTGAGTTAATCAGTTAAAGACAAACTGTGCCCTTGGGAAGCTAAATAAAAAAGCGACAGTAAAGCTTACAGAACTTAGCTCGTACAATTTGCCTTGAAGGCGGAAGATTGGTTCCCTGAAATAGCAAAGAATTATATGCTTTAGTTCAGAAAAAAAGTTTTAAGATAAAGTCTGTTATTACCTCTTCTCCTTTCAAAACAATGGGAAAAAAGTCATCTAGAGCAGAGGTTTTAATTTGTTCAATAATTGTACCTCTGTGTTTAAAAAAAAGCTTTTAAAAAATCATCATTGTTTTGACTTGAAAAGAAATAACAATGCAAATATTCATTATCACATAAAACATAGAAGAAACAGCAAACTGCCGGAGTTAATACAATCTCTGCAGAGCTATTAGTCAGACAGCAGGTCAGCCCCAAGATTCAAAAAATTCAAGTGATCAGATAGCCTTAGCAATTAACATGGTCATCAACCAATAGAAATTTGGCATGGCAGAGGTTAAATCCAACACTGCCTTCTTTCTGAGCTGTCCCTTCACTGTTACCAAGCTGTGCAAATGTGTGAACTAGCCAGCTGCACCCAGAAGCCCATGCAACTACTCACCATATTTTTAAACTTGAACTGCCTCGGATTCAGTGTTAGGTTAAGTTCGGTGGTAACAGAAGCAAGCAAAAGAGGACACAAAGAGTCTAATACAAAATGCACAGCAAGTAGCAGGACTTACTTAAGGTGAGGCGGTAGGGTTAACTGCAAAAATAGCCAAAACAAAGTGCAAAGTTTGCTCCCAAAACTTGAAAAGCAAAAATAAAACAGAAAGCTGCATCTTAAGCAAAAACTCCAGATGATTAATTGGCATTTAAAAACTTGTCAGTTAAGCAGTCTGGTCCCAGTGCTTTGGAGCATGCACACACTGGGTTTCTTGCATGGTTCCTACCTGATTTCCAATTGTGCTTTTCTTGTGAACCTGACTGCTCCTCTGCTGAGCACTGGGAAAAGCAAAGGAGAGCAGCGCTGAAGAAATGCAACAAGTGTTTTTCTGGACACACAACAGACACAAAAATACATTACACACTTTAAAACCCCAGGCAGAAGTAATAGCAACAACCCAGGTCCATCTAATTCTGGAAGATCAAACAACCCAGTGGGATTTCTCACAGCTATTAGCAAGCAGCAACAAAAACTATAACTCCACATGGAAAAAAATAACCCTATATTAATAACAATGGGTAGATGTGTTGGTGGGGGGGTGGACTTCCCATAGTATGCAAAATAATGGGAATGGGTATCAAATTAACACTTATGGAATATCTACTATTTTCTGTGAGACATGCATTATTTTTCTGTTCGGTACCCTCTACTTCCATCAGCACTGTTCTACTCAAAAGTCAAAGCCAAAGTCATTGCTACAGATTTCCAGGTCTTACTCAACTTATGCCCACTCTCTGCCACTTCAATACATATCCTCTTCCCTTCAACTCACTCACTGGTGAAGGCCCATCCCTGTGGCCTCTGCCAGAGTCACCCAGAATAGCCCTACGTGAGAGGCTTCATGCTAGCTTACTGCTCTAAAGATAGTTCCCCTATACTTCTGCAATGCTCCTAATGTCTCTCCCAGTGTTAGCCCAAACTGTTTTTCAGTGAGACCTAAGTTGACCACTATTTTAAAGTGGGTCCATGCTTTCCTACAGGGCCCCCCACTCCCATGACCTCCTCTCTTTCTCATGGTGACCTTTACCTTCCAACCTGCTGTAGTTTGCTTTGTGTCTGTTTATCCGCACATACCCTTCTACGTCATGCTGGAAGCACCCTGCGAGTGAGGTTTTATGTCTGCTTTGCTTAATGCTCTATCCCCAGGGCTTATGGAGGACCTGTCTCAAACTTGGCAGCAGAAGGTATCTATTGAATGAAAAGTCCCATGAGGCCGGCGCCATCATACTCCCCACTTCAGTGAGCCAGAGGAAGGGTAAAATTCAGTTATCACTCTTAACAACTTAGCCCCAGAGCCTACAATAGTAAGTATAATGCTATTCTAGCTCTCAGAAGAATGAAGGCTTCTTGGTGGATCTATAGATCTATCATAAGAAAACACAACTCATCTTGGGTATTCTGGCAAGACTAGCAATGCTGTACTCTTTGTTAGTTCATCTAAAGTTTATAGTAGCTGTTTCAGAGAACAGTGGAATGGTCTGAAAAGAAAGAAGTAGACTAAAGCCATAAGCTGTCTGCTTAAAGTGATTGGATGTTATGGTTTGGTTGCAAGATAGAAATCAAACTCCCACTTAGAACAGTTGTTCAGAACAGCAGCTTTTTGTAATCTCCCCTGATGTATTTAAGCTGCTTGCCTCCACTCAAACCCATAAAAACAACACAGGCACTCAGCTGAGACTGGGCAGCGAAAGGTGACACTACATTTTTGGTCACTAGAGATATTTTGTGTGAATTTTTGTTTTTCATTACTAATTTACTAATTTCAGTTTCTTTACCTTTGGCTTAGTTTTATAATTTTTAGCTAAATGTCCAATTCCCTTCATTTCTTTTCAACCATCCCTTTGAGGAACTTCAGCCGAGTTCTCAGGGTTTTGTAAGCAAGAATGTAAAAGAGGGCTTGATTTTGTCTGTTACCAGGATCACATGCACCCACACTGCCCTCTGGCTGCCCATCAAGCCTGGCACACTGGGTATCTCAAATACTACACCCTCTGAGCTTCAGTTTCTCCCTCCTACATTGTCTCTTCAAAGTCACCTTCCCAGAACTCCCCCAGGTTTGTCCATATTCTAGGAATAAACAGGAAAATGTCTACTGAAATGTGAGTGTGCCTTGGTTGTAGCTGTCTTCCAATATACAATTTTGTTTTAAGGGGACATGTCTTTAACAAACCTCTAATCAGTGTAATCGCTTTGAAACTACAGCAGACCCAGGAGTGAGCATTTTTTATAAATTCATGTGGACTTTATGTTATGTATAGATTCCCTTAAAATAACACGGAAAAAGAGTAGAACCCAACTTTGGGCAGAGCTTGACCCTGCTGGACCACAGTTTCTCAGTGCCAAAGTTTGAGGGGGTGTGAATTGTCAGGGATGTGGGTGACTTTGACCGAGGAGGAAGGTGGACTGAAGGAGTTGTTTCTTAGGTTCAGGTTTTTGTCTGGGTGGTAAGTTTTGGTTTCCATTTGGGGTTTTCTGCTGTGCTGGAGATGGAACTGAAGACCTCCTGTGTGCTAGGCAAAGACACTTCCACTGACATACATACACAGCCTTTTTAGACTCTTTCTAGCTCCACACTTCTTGAGATGCAGCATTTCTCTCAGAGATTGGTAGTAATATTAGATAAAGAGCATTTCCACAAACAGGGTTTTTGTAGGGAACGATGCATGTTTCTTATCTACCACTTACATAGTCACATGGAAAAAACATATTTATTTTATGACTCAATCTAAAATACTACACTTAGAATAAACACTATCATTACTTTGTACCTAATGAATAACTTTTTTTTCAGCAACTGCACCATAAACTCAAGCATATGGCTGGTAATTATGTACTTAGGGTGACACAGTTGTTCCAAAGGTAATAAAAAGCAAGCTATTTAATTAAAATACACCCATTATCATAACTCTTGGTAACTTAATTAATGAATTATTTAAGAATGTGTTCATGATAAAACATGGGAGGCATTTGAGTTCATTTGAATTCTTGGATATATTCTCGGATATGGATTCTTAACTGTTATCTTAGCTAATTATAAAATATGCTCATATATAGTATTTTAATTTGATATAAATAAAAAATTTTAGAGCAACACCTTGAAAAAGAAGTAGACATGAATAAGGTTGGTCCTTTTAACCAAAAGCATTAGTTCAACCAAAGAACGTATGTGTGCTACATATATATGTGTGTGTGTGCATGTGTGTTTATATATAATACTTTTATGCATATATGTAATAAATATATATGATACACGTATTATATAATATATATGTGTATTATATATTGTGTGTAATATTTATTACATATGTATACATGCAAAACAACAAATACAGGATAAGCTTTATTAAAGCAAACATAAAGATTACTAGAAAGAAAAGAGATTCCTGTTTTCAGATTTTGGATAAAATTACCTTAGCTTTTATTATGTCTATGAATGTTTGTTGCTAATTCCATAATTCTTCTATTATGCACAAGTTGCTGTGCAAGTTTTTGCCAAATACTCCAGCATAAAACTATATTGAGCTTATTGCATTTATGCTTGATAAATTTTTTTAAAGTACATAAAAAGAAATTGGATTTTTATAAAAAATTAAGAGTACATTAGAAGTCATCCAAACAAAAAGAAAGCTACAACCTCACTTCTTCCCTTCTGCCCTCCCTGGTGTGCAACACAAAGACAGAAGTATCAAGAAAGTGTGCCTAGGAGGTGTGTGACTATGAAGAATCAGGACAGTTGCCCAGGAGGTGAGTAACTACTATCAACTTTAGTCCTATACATAGTGATGTTTTACAACATTCAGAGACAAGGAACATTATTCCAGTTTGCTGTTCTGAGATTTTTGTAAAGAACTTGAAATATAAATTTTAACACAAGAATACATATATCCACTGAATAGTGTTAACAAAGCCAGGGTGTGGGGAAATGAAAATTCAGGGAAACTACAAATAAAACTTCTATGGTGTAATCATGAACTCAGTTTGTAAGTGATCTTAAAATCCTTCTAGACCAATAGCTATATGTTGGAGCTCAGTTACAGAGAACTTAGTCATCAAAGGACAGCAGACAGCATTCAGCGTTTCTAGGCCAGAAAATAGTATGACAAAAGAATTGTTTGTGTAAATACTACTTCCCCCCCCCAAAAATGGGCAGTATTGACTCTGAAGCCAGGAAAAGAGGAGGCACCCAGTTTAATCAGCTTCTTCAGATGTTGGAGTCCTCCTCAGTGTTCAAAGTCAAATCAAGTTCAGTTCAAGAATTATGCCTTCTGAGATGCCTCCACTTCTCTCTTCTTGCCATGAATCCCTAAAGCCTTCAGTTTGTGCCCATGCTGTATAAACAGGCTAGTGTTTACAGGCAGGGGTATATTGCCACTCCAACAGTGTCTGCTCTTTGATAGAAGATGGCATACTCAATGCATCTTACTATTTCTAACACTTCTATCATAGATAGTACAAAACACAGAGTTTATGGAAATTTCTTAAATACATTTTTAAAGTTGTTTGTTTGTTTAGGGAGGCGTGTGCATGCCGCTGTCCATGTGTGGTAGTCAGAGGACAAACTGAAGGAGTCATTTCTCTCTTTTCATTACATGGTCCCAGGGATTGTACTTGGGTTGTTAGGCTTGGCAGCTAGCATCTTTACCTATGGAGCCATCTTGCCAGCTGCTTAAGAAATATTTTTGAGAGTTTTGTTTTTAGGCCATGGTTATGTATAATCAAACTATCAAAGTGTAGCTGCAAAAGAAATTCAAATGCTCTGAATAAGCATAGTGTAGCCATGTGGTAAAGCAGCAATAATGTTGAGCATTTTGGGGACTACAAAATGCTCAAACTTGCTGGAATATAAAGTTGCTGGACAGATGAGAGAGGGCTGATGACAATGTAACAGGCTGAAGATAAAAGTAGATGACAGAGATAGAAGGCTTTGGAAACTTTATCCTGAAAGCAATGAAGAACCCAAGAAAGGATGAAAAAGACCAAGACAGGGAGCAGGGAGACTGTTGTAGTCACCCAATTAAGAGAAAAATACCTTTGGTAAAGCAGTGACAACAGAAACAAGTAGTGAAACTCAGAAACATAGCATGGAGATAAAACCAAATCAACTTGATAAGGATGGAGAGAGGTAGACAGAGAATAAGCAGTACAGAGTGACCTCAGATTTCTAGTTTGAGCAACTGAGAGTTCCCATTCACACAGAAGTGGAGATAACAGCATGGAAATGACTCAGGGAATGCTGGGTTGAGGCTCCTCTTGGACATGTAAGCAGGAGGAAGCTGAA